CTCTCCATCCACATATAGCTTTGAACCCTAACATCTCATGAAGCGAAACCCAAGATCCATGGGAATTTCAAGTTCAGAACAGTTCTTTAAAACAAACCAGTAAGGCACAGAAAAAAATTGAAAATAAAAAGTTATCCTCGATTAAACACTAACATTTTGAGACACCGTATTCAGAGAAGAGACCGTAATGGCCTAAAAAATATGTTCCAAAAAAGGACGATATAGCGAATTAAACCCACCACCTCAAAAATCATATGCACGGCAACAACTCTTGTCGGTGGTGACATACGCCTTTGGGTCATTCTGTCGCGAATTGCACCCGACCATGAGTCAAAGTCTTCCGCATCTATTAAAAGCTGCTCAAGTCCGACCTGGATCTAGAACACAAACAAATTGAATAAAATTAGAAATTCTCAAAAATATTTACCTCCTGAAGCGACACAAAATTGTCGCTTTTTGTAGTGGTATGCATGTGTACAAGGAAGCTCCTGACTTTGATGGATTTATAGCTATAGATGAGTAGCAAAACATATGTCACTTCATCAAAAAGAAAAACACCATAGTACAATAAAGTAGTAAAAATCTCAGGAGATCAGAGATACATAGATATATAAGAACAGCACGATTACAAGAATTTCAAAGACAGATTAATTTTGTTATGTAGAAATAACATAAACAATGGATGGAAAGAAGAGGTTTTAGTTGAGTATTGTACCATTCACTAAAGGATAGACCATTTTCATTAAAGTATGGACAACATGCTTCAGTGCGCATGACACTCATACAGATACGGTTTTGAGGTAGCGAGTGATAATTAGATTCAATTCATTCAGAATGGGACTTACCTTTCCTTCCAGCATATACCATTTACAATTATGCCTCGTGCTCACACCGTTTGAAATATCCGGGAGAGTTTCTATAATATGTAAGTTGTGTAAATATTTACGCACTCTACGGTAATAGCCATTCCACGCGTTTATAATTTTTGTAATATTTTGAAACAATACC